TGGACCACCTAATTCAGCGGTTTTCAACCTGTTTCCAGGCTGTTCTAAGGGAGACCCGTACATCTGTTTCCAGAATACTATTTTCAAAAATAATCCAAAATTTTTGAAATATTGTTAAAAAATAAACAACAAATAATTTGTAATTCATATTAGTTTGTCTGATATCAGTTGAGTATTTATAAAATTAAATTGTTGCAAAAGTTAAATGGGGCGCTACATTTTTTTAGAGCAGGGGGTGCACGATGCATAAAAGGTTGAGAACCACTGACCTAATCTTTTATATTGGTGAGGTGTAAACATTAAGAAACTAGTGAATAAAAATGGAAAATAAGTTAAATAAAGCAATTTGACAAAAGATAAATTAAATTAATAGTTATTCCATCTCTGATGACGAATTCCACTGGCAAAGTTCCATATGAAGGTTGTATCCACTGCAATCTTAATAAAAAATGGGTCCAAAATATGTATTATAAACTAAATTTGAATTCACTTTATTTGTGATAATTGTATTTCAAGAGACAGTGAGTCTGATTATGATAAATCAAACAGAAATACTTATACTCAAGATTTATGATAGTAATAAGAGTTGATAATTTTTTATATTTATTATATTTAAAAATAGATATTTAGATTATGATTTTTAGCTTTGTTTTTTCAACCTAATAATTAAATTACGTCGCGTTCTTTAAATAATCTAGCTATTATTTAATAAATGATTTTTGAAATTTTATAACAAAATGGTGGATCTTCTTGCACTCTGACTGTACCATTTTATCTCATCTATTTGAAAAAATATAGTTTTTCAGTGATAAATTAGCTGGAGATTTATGTTGTTGGTTTAGTTTTCACAGTATACAGAAATACCCCGTTTAACGCGGAGAATACGTTCCATCAAAGTAGAGCGCAATGCGAAACAGCGTCAAAACGAGGCTATCTTTACATGGAAATATTGGGGTTAGGGGAAGGCGGCTAGGAAATTGGTCCGGTATTAAATTTAAAAAGTATGTTTTTTTTTTACTAAAAATAAAACCAAACATTTATTTCTTAAAGCCCAAATTAGTACCACATTATGATTTCTTGCAAAAATAAAAACAAAATATAGATAACAAAACGAATATTCTTGAATAAAAAACAAATAAAATTCTAAGTCAGTCAGTCATATTTAGCTAGCCTTCCGCATTTTCAGTGTTTTGCCTTTTTGAGACTAAAGCATCTCATGTTGTTTTACTTTTTCTTTTGCATTGTCCTTTTAAAAGTTCTTCATAAACGGATAGAGCATCTCTGACATCTCGCCTTAGTTTCGAGCTTCTCTCAAAATTTGGATAATTTTCGATGAATTGATCCATTATTTCAGTTATGGTAGACAAACTCTTTTTTACAAACATCATCGAAATTTTGCTCTTTCGCTGAATCACTGCCGTCAACATTTTTGTTTTCTTCTTGCTCAGTTAATTCCTTGAGCTCGCCATTAGAAAGACTGCGCTGCTTCTTGAATTATTTCTTCGACATCTTCCTGTTAAAATAAAAGAGCGCTAAACGATACGGCGTTAAACGAGGTATTACTGTAATTGATATAAGTCAAATTGGACCTTTGTATCCCGCCCTGCACTGTGAAAAAAAATGAACTGAAAAAGACAGGAAATCCCGGATAATAATAATGAAAATCAATATTTCATAATATATTTATTTTTGTTCCAAATTTCATTAAATTTGGATTTAGTATACGTGCTCAGATCCTCACACTTGATTTTCAGTGTTTAAATGCCGCCTTTGTGTTGTTACATACAATATGTTGTTTTTGTTTGAATAATGTTACGACTTAATGTATTATTCATATGAAAAAATATGTCTGGGCTCAAGGCCAATGTCAGCGGAAACCGTTTATGAGATACAAGGCGAAACGAAAAATGTAATATCAAACCTAGTATAAATAGACCAATTGAAAAATGAACACTATAAAATGCATTTAACTAGTGGTGCATTGAGTTTATAGAGTAATATGTTAATATGCAGTTATGCACCCATCACAATCTAAGTTCCTATAGTAAAGTGGAAGTAACACTGGTTACTTCCACAAACAATCACAATCAATTACAGCCCTTAAACCAATTAGCATGAGCCATTATATTGACTGAATGTTCATACAGACAGTAGTAAATCTTTTATGTATAATGATAAAAAAAACTAGTTGGTATTGGTATTTTGCCTCGAGGCAAGTTACATGAACTTCCCGATATGTGTAAATAATCGACTTAATCAATTAAAAAATAAATTAATTTATGAGTGATTAGAAGTATTCCGAATGGATTTATTACATAAATTGAGAACGAACGATCACGTTAACTCAATGTATTTTCTAAAAGCAAATTTTCACAAATTAATGATTTTTATAATTGAACCAGTTTCCGTAGGACTTTAATGGTTCAATATATTCATTAAGACCAAGTACTCTATCGTTATACCAAGTAAATCGTCTAATTTTAATTTTAACAAACGTCAAAAAACTACTTATTTTCTCAAACTTTGATGAATTTTTAAAATTAAACTACTTGTCGTAAGGCCGTAATATTTCAGTAAGTTCTATAAAACCATGATATATATATCGCCAGAAAAAGTTCTATAAAAGTCGGCTTAAAGTTTTTTTTCAACAGTTAATTACAAGAAAACGGCTCGGTAAATTTTCACCTAAAACTAATCAGTATCATTCCCAACTACCTTTCGAACTAACCTTTCGAACAGTTTTTAATTTTTAAAATCGATTCGGTAGTATGAGCTTAAATTTGGACGAAAAGTTTAACACTTTTTTCCAAATGACAAAGAAACGGCTTGGCAGATCGAACGGTTTTTGAATTTTCAAAATCGATTCAGAATTGCGGGCCAAAACGTGGACGAAAAATTTTTCAGTTTTCTGCGATTCACAGGGAAACGGCTCGGCCGATCGTAGCGCAAAACTGACAAACGATAGTCCTCATCGAAATACATCGAATGGTTTTTCAAATTTTTGAAATAGGTGCAGCCGATTTACGGCAGAAAATCTGTTCACATACACACACACATACTTTTTCCAAATTTGGTCTCATTCGATTCAGAATGGCTTTTCGAGAAAACATAAAATTAGCGAATCGGATTTTTTGATGAAAACATAAACTTCTCCTTCGGGACGTTAACTAGTGGTGCATGGCATCGTGCCTTAAGGCAGATTTCTGAAACTTTCTGTACCGAAAACTAAAATTCTCTGAAAAAGATTTAAAAAATTTTGAAAACTTTGACAAAAGAATGTTTGAAAATTTTGAAAAAAATGACTTTTTTAATTAATTAGAATTTTTATTATATTTTGAAAATTTTGAATTTTTTTTTTTCAAAGCAATCGCACTGCGTAGCTTTTTTAGATACGAAATATGGAAGCGCGTAAGCGCCGCAACTTACTCTAAAAAATTAAAAATTGGTACCATGGAAATTTAAACAGAGTTTGTACTTATTATTAACATTTCTATAAAATTTCTGATAATTTGGTGTGCATATGTTTAATGATCATTTTTGACCGCAAAATAGCATTTTTTTACTTTATTTATTGGCTCTCCGAAACCGCTGGACCGTCAATACAAGTAAAATGTTTTATGAATCATTCAAATTGAATTACGATTTTTAGCATTTTTTGCCTTGTATCTTTAAATTTGTTATTTAAATTATTCAAATCGGTTGATCCGTGTTCACGAATTCCTCGACGAAAATTTGTATCTGAACACACGCATATGGTAATATATATTATATATATTACATTGTATATGTATACATATATATTATATTATTTTGTGTAACATTTTATGGTTGTTTTGTTTTTTAATTTGAGCATGAAATCAAAATTGACTAAAATTGAGAACTCTATATCCCCATAATTTATTCAAGGTCTTTTATCAGCTTATGCATTCACATTATTTATAATTTATTTCATTACAGTTACTTTAAAAGGATGACGCATATTGTCAGAGCAAATACATAATATATTCGTCTTACAAATATATATATATATATATATATATATATATATATATATATATAGCAATAAAATATAAAAAAAATGTTTTTATTTATAAACAGATTTTTGTTTATTTTCGACGTTTTGGAAATAAGTACGTTCCATCTTCAGGACATCTGTCAAGAAACGCTTTGGTTTATCGCTAATCATCTTGATTAGCGATAAACAAACCAAAAAAATATACTTAAGAAAAAATAATAATTAGTAGATTTTAATAAAATTATAAAAGAGAGGAAATTATATAAGATATAATAAAAATAAAAATAGTAATTAAAGAATGGAGTATATAATGAAATATTGAAATGTAATGAGGCATTGTATTATTGCAGATGAAAAACAATTTGAACAATTGTTTAGTAATTTTAACGCAGTCTAACGGAAATACATAGAAATGTAAACATTTATACTTATTCTTACAATCTTTATAAAATATCTGATAATTTGATGTGCATATCTCTAATGATTATTTTGGACCGGCAAATGATTTTTTTAAATTTTTCTCACTCGATTTCCGAAACCGCTAGACCTGTCTAAATTTAATTTGTTCTTCATACTGTCAATACAAGCCAATTGTTTTTTGAAATATTGAAATTGGGCGTTTCAATATCTTAAATTAAATTACCATTTTTGGCACTTTTTGACTCGTTTCTTCGAAACGGCTGGCCCTGCCCGCATAGACGTGTTGATTCTCAATATAAATCAAATGCTTTTTGAATAATTCAATGCGTATTCCCGTAATAATTGACGAAAATTTGAATCCGCACACACACATAGATCTATTTTTTCTGAAGTATGCCAAAATGTTCAGCAACCTTTGAAACTTAATGATACATAAAATTTTAATATTCGATTTTTTTGCGATTGCCATAACTCATCCCACGGGAAGTTAATAAACAAATCACTGTTTGTATTATAATTTCGATAATTAATCTATTTTCATACTTATCATATTTTATCTTGTTAGGGTTAAGTGCGTGCGAGCGCAAATCCTTTGTTTTTCTGCGCAAGGAATTGCCAGTGCGGCTGGCGAACATAATGAAGGAGATCGCCCTCCTGCCGGAGAGACTGCTGAGTATGCCCAGCGTTGACCTGGTCAGCGCCTGGTATGCCAGGAGCTTCCAAGACGTCATCAAATTTGAAAAGCAGGACATCAACGAAGAAACACTTGACTCGTAAGTTTTAACAAAATGAATTCTTTTATATTTACAGAAATTTATGGACCGATTATGTCGCACAACAGACCAATCTTATGGCAAGGCTATGTTATTAAGAACTTTCCATACTAAATATTGACAAAAGCCATGTGATTGCTGTGCATTCAGGCATTTTTCTCAGGTTGTCAGATAGAAAACCTAACCATAGAAACTGCACAAATGTCAATAAAACGATCTTAGACAACAGGGTCTTTCTGACACAGCTTCATAACATACGAATGACGTTGTAGTTTATGTGTAAAATGCCTGAATGAACATCAAATACATGGCATTTTAACAGTATTCAGTATGATTCAGTGGCATAATGTATGGAAGTTGGAGCGTAACATGGCCTTGCCATAACATTGGTCTGTTGTGCGGCAGAATCGCCCCATTAATTTCTAGTGTTACGTTTTACTTATTACTTACTTATTTACTTACTTATTTTATTTCACTTATCAATATACGCTAAATCAGTGTTTCCCAACGTGGGGCGCACGCCCCATCGGACGGCAATTTGTAAATTCAGGGGGGCAATTTGAAAATTTTGGTGATTTTAATGTAATGTTGTATAGTATCGGTAAAACATTTAACAAAAAAAATGCTTCTTAGATTTAACTCATAGTAAGGTGTCCCGGTTTGGCCGGTACAGTCTTAGTATTCAACCTTGCTTTTCTGGTGCCGGAGTTTGTTTTTTCTGTCGGGTTGACCTGACTTTTAAAAAAGAATAGCTTGAATTTGAATATTTCTCGTTACTTTATAATAAAATTACAACGACCCATTATAATCTGAAAATGATATATGCGATAAACTGCTTATATAAAACTAAACATTATGAAAAATAATGTTGCGCAATGCAAAAATTCTTTAGGTTCGAATAGTCCTTCACTAATTATTTTAAACTTCTATATTCCAATTTATGAAAATTACCAAAAAATTAGGTAAATTAAGTTTCTGACTGCTTGTGCTTTATTTTAAGGTCTGTGACAAGACTCGTCTTGAAATGTGCACAAGAGAAGTGATATTTAATACTAAAGTTAATTGCCAAGCTTTATGCGAACAGAGTTTTATACAAGGCTTTAAACGCGGAATAATCGTAAATATGACATGAGTTTTTTACTCACTGTCAATAACTATGGCTAAAGATGGAATTAATTTGAAACAAACTAATTTTCAATTTATCATTAAATAGTATAAGGTTGGCAACTAAGTGCAGTTTTTACTCTTAGATTGCTTCAAATGATTCTTTGGGTTTGTTGAAGTAGTCTACATGTAAAACACTTTTTTTTATTGTATAGTGAGAAATTTAGCTGTAGATTAGTAAAAATACTTTTTTGATCGGTTATGTAGTTGTCGTTTAGCGTTTGTTGAAAGATGGAATATCAAAACAAACATTTTAGTCAAATTTTGCATTTTTATTTCTGCAAAGGGTAAAACGATCCTCCCGAAGAATAGATGCTGTTTATGGTGTCGAAGCCTTAAAAAAAACAACATGTTAAAATTGATTTTGAAAATGTCATTCTGGTGACTTTCCACTCAATGCTGCTCTGATCGTCCAGTTACCTAATTAAAGCAATAATCGATTCGGCTAATAGAAAAAATTTGGTTATGTTTAAAAATTATTGGGGGTGGGTTGAAATTTTTCTCCACATCCACCAAATATTCCTGACTACAAACCATCTGTTTAAAACCCTTGAATTAAAAAAAAATCATGATGGTGTCAAATTATACATAATTCAGTTTTTGCTAATAGAAACTAGAAGTTTTATAAACTTGGGATAATGATCCTTCTTGGAAAATTACAAAAGGTCATCGATCAAAATGGTATACAGAGCAAAGTTATTTAATTCCACGCAAAAATTGTCCTTGATTTTCTAAAAAAAGATGCGCACTTACTTAGTTGCCAACCTACTAACTAAAAAAGATTTAACAAAAAATATATATTAAATATAGATATATTTTCGTTCCGAGTTAACAAAATGTCAACTAGCTAAGTAGATTCATTAAGAAATGGCTTTATGGAGAACCAAATGTAATCATATGTACAAAAATTTGCTATAATTTATTGACAAAAAGAAAAAGCTTAGTAAGTTACAACCTAATATAAAATCTTTATTTTAGCTTAAGTATTGCATTAAATAAATTTTGAAAAAACAGACCATAAATAGGAATGCTAAAATTAAACACCAATTTCATTGTTAAGTCTCTATATTTCCGCTCAAAGAATCAATAAAGTATCTCGTCATTCACATAGACAGGAAACTGAACTGGAAAATATACATAAAGAACAAAAGACAACAGATAGATCTAATTTTCTAAAATTATTATTGGTTCTTAAACAGAAAATCCGAATTATCAACATACAACAAATTACTTATATATAAGGCGGTGATGAAACCCGTGTGGACCTACGGTTTTCAACTTTGGGGTACTGCTAAAAAGAACAATTTAAGCATAATACAACGTGCGGCAAATATCAAACGCTCTTCGCTACACGTCAACATGAATCCTCCACAAAGACATACCTACAATTCAAGAACATAATCAATGGTTGCCATTAATTATAAGAGCAGAATAGACGTCCATTCTAACCAACTAGCATGCCGTTTATACTAGGAAAGCCAGCCGACCAGACTTAAAAGAAAAACATTTGGGGACCTAATATAGTTTAATTAACTATAATACTTTCATTTAACTACATTTTATTGTTTTTTCCTTTTGTTTTTAGTTTTTTTTATTATATTAGCTCTAGTAGATACGCCACTGGGGGGGGTGGGGTATTTACAAATTTGTAAACAACTTGTCATCATTCTCTGCTTAATGTAATTATATATACAGATTGCAGAATAAAATTATAATTAAAAAAAAACGTCTCTAAATCCAGTACTTTAATGTGTGAAACATAAAAGTTGTAAGTCAAGAATTGTTTCCTCTAATGCTTTTTTAGCGATTTGTGAAAATTGCATTGTATTTTTTTGGAAATAGTAACATTCTAGAGAGAATGATCAGTTTGCAATAGATTCAGGTCATTGAACCAACTTATTTTCAACTGCGCATTGCGTATATGACAAAAATATTGTCATGTATAATTCATAAGCGAAATATCTAAGAAACTAGCAATGGTTGAGTTAACGTAGTTAAGTTATAGTAATCACAATAAAATCGATTTTTCTCTCTCTTTTATTAATAATCATCAGAACATAAATAACTTCTATAAATTATTTTGATTTACATTATTGACATATAATTATGTATAGTATTTACCACAGTGGGTAATTACTATTAGATACAACGCATTCGATCAAGTTAATAGGCCATAATTTTTTAAGTCTTTTAAATTTGGGCGCAAGAAGCAGCGAAGCAACAAGTGGATTGGAAAAATCGCTTATGAAAATTTTTATATATTTTTACGTTTTAAGGTTTTCTGAACATTTTGGAATCCCCTACAAAAACTAGTGGTATATGGCATCGTGCCTTAAGGCAAATTGCTGGAACTTCCCGTACTGTAACGAAATGTTCGAGGAATATTAAATGTTTTCAAATAGTTTATTATAAATACAGCAAATAATTGCAAAGAAACTGAAATGCTAAGTTGAAATTATTGTTTAAAGTATATTAGAACTTTAGTCATAATTGAAATTAAAATCTGAATTATTTTCGATATACAAAAAAAATTTAATAAAATAAATTGAAAAAAAAATTTCCGAATTTTTTTTTCCAAAAGCAATTATTTTGTTAAAACAAGCAGAAAGTTCTTTGGATCATTCAAATCGGACGCTTAGTTCTTTCAAAAACTGCCATATTTTGCTCTATATCTTCGAAATGGCTGGACCTGTTTTTGCCAAAAACTAATCACCTCTTCTCACAATCATTACGAATTGAATGTTTTTTAGATACGCCGTTTTCTCAAAAACTCGATTTATATCTTCTGCACTCTTTGCTTTGTATCTCCGTAACGGCTGGACCTGCGTTTGCCAAAAACTAATCAGCACATCTCCGTATCAATAGGAATCGAATGTTTTTTGAACCTTTGGTTGATCTGTGCACCAGAAAACGTGGACGAAAAATTGTATTGTATTGTATTGTAACATACACACACACATACATCCATTTTTTCTGAGGTATGCCTAAATGTTCAGAAACCTTCAAAACGTGAAGAAATGTAAAAATTTTCAATTTCGATTTTTGGACGATTACAATAACTTACCATACGGAAAGTTAAAAAATTGATTATGTGTGTGTGTACGTGTGTGTGTGTGTGTTGCATGTATGTGCGGATACAATTTGTCGTTGACGATTTCGAGAACACGGTTGAACAGATTTGAATGATTAAGAAAGCATTCGATTCTTATTGATGCAGCATTATTAGTTTTTTTGATCAAGGCAGGTCTAGCTTTTTCAGAGATACGGATTGAGGCAAATTTGTTATTTTTGAAATTTTAAACATGACAGATTGACTTATCACATGGTACTATTATGTTATTATTAAAAAAAGTGTCAAGAAAAACAAACTATTAACAAATTTGAACTTCTGACGTGACGCAAGCATCATGGATGATCTTCGACGTCAATTTGTCGAAGATTTATCAAACCACTTAGCACTTTTACAGTTCTATAATATTTGCTAAGTCCTGGTTACATCTATTAATTAGAGCTTTATAATAAATCTAACGTTTGCTGACAATTAACCTTTTAAGTTAATTAGAATACTAACGCGAGTAACAATATACAAAGCTAATACATGATGCACATTACTTAAAAACTATAAATGATTAACAACATATAATTAATATTAAGCGAGAACGCGTTAGTTTCAATAATGAACTAGCTGTAAGTGGAATTCTGTCTTAAGGCAATTAAGGCATCGTGTCTTAAGGCAAATTGCTGGAACTTCCCGTACCAAAATTTTTTTAACGATTAACATTTTTAAAAAATTTTACTTCGAAAAAATAAGATTGTTGAGAAACTATAAATTGGAC